GTGCGAGTTTTTTAAGCATGAGTTGGAGTTTTTGGGACACGTCATCTCCCGCGACGGCATGAAAATCGACCCGGCAAAAATCAAGACTATACAGGAGAGGAAGTCCCCTATTAACATCACGGAACTTCAGAGTTTTTTGGGGTTGGTGAATTACGTCTGGCGGTTTATCCCGAATATGGCGGGGATAACTGGCCCGCTGACTGACCTGCTGCACAAGGACACCAATTTCGTGTGGGGGGAGGAAGCTGAGCCGACTTTTCAGGAACTAAAGAATTTTCTGGTTTCCCCTCCGGTACTACAGATCGCCGACCCATCGAAGCTGTTCGAAGTCATCACCGACACCTCAGATTTCGCCATCGGAGCTTTGCTTCTCCAGGATTTCGGGAACGGACTGCAGCCGATCGCCTACGAGTCACGCAAGCTGTAGTCAGCAGAGCACAACCACCCGATACATGATAAGGAGATGCTCGCCATAATACACGCGTTCAAACAGTGGCGTTGCTACTTGGTGGGCGCCGACGTCACTGTTCGCACGGACCACAAATCCCTACAGTACCTGCGAGTTCAGCCCAACCTCAACCCGTGACAAATTTGGTGGCTGGACTACATGGAGAGCCACTTCACCTACCGCATCACGTACAAGAAAGGGGCGAATAACATCGCCGACGCCCTTACCCGACCGACAGTTCAATCCGCTGCAGTGCTCATCACCTATTCGAACCCGCTACTTACGGGACTATTCACCCACGGTTACACTACGGACCGGTTCTTCATGACTGGAAATCACCAGTAGGCGACGACGCAGAAGGGGCACTATTACCTAAAAGCCGGAGCTGACCGGATTTGGGTTCCCGCTTATCGGCTGCTGCGTGGTACCCTTATCCAGGAGGTCCACGATTCTAACCCTTCTGGACATTTCGGGGTCGATAAAACCCAGAAGCTGTTGCACCGTCAATATTATGCAGCGATATGTGTCCTCATGCAGGGTGTGCTAAGCAATATAATCGACACGTCAGCGGCCAGCTGGATTGCTGCAACCCCTCGAGCCACCCGAACGACCGTGGCAACAGGTGACGATGAATTTCGTCACGGGGCTGCCAGCTGGGCCGTCCGGCAACGACGCTGTACTCGTTGTCGTCGATCGCTTCACGAAAATGGCGCATTTCGCACCGTTTCGTACAACAATCAGAGCCTAAAAAATTGCGCGCCTCTTCATCTCAACCGTCGTGCGACTGCACGGAATCCCCTCGGCGATCATCAGCGACAGGGACCCGAAGTTTATATCGAACCTACAGTACAGCACGAAGCTACAGCTTTCGTTGGCATACCATCTACAAACCGACGGACAGACCAAGCGGACCAATCAGACAATGGAGCAGCTGATCAGGACAAACTGCCCCGACCCCGCTCGTTGGGAGATTTCACTCGCCATGGTGAAGTTCCGTTCAACAACGCCCCATCCAACACGACTAATCACTCTCCGTTCTTTCTCAATTACGGGATGGACCCGGTGGTACCAACCACGACCACGCTTGACTACCCGATCCCGCGGTCACAAACATTTGTGACAGAACTCCAGGAGATTCACGAACAGGCGGCCAACGCCATCCGCAAGGCGAACATCACTGCCCAAAAATATACGGATCTTCTAAACGAGAAATCGTCATGGCAGCTGGGCAACTAGTGCTGCTCGACACGAAAAACCTGCTCTTGCCCAGCCCGAGCAAGCTACGGCCACGATTTTGTGGGCTATTTCGCATCATCCAAATGGTGGCACCTGTAACTGTGAAGCTGCTGCTACTCGACGACTGGCGTATACATGACGCCTTCCATGTCAGCCTCCTTCGCAAGTTTGTGCCTGCCACGACAGACATCGCGCGCCATAACGCCGCCCCGACAACCCGACCTGTCCCGGAACCGACACTTGAACCGTCCAAGATTTTGGTGCATCGTGTTCGGCTCGACGCTTCTGGATGCCACGTGGATTTTCTAATCCGTTGGACTGACCGCACCAGTGAGGACGACACTTGGGTGCCATCCGCCTCGCTTGAAGCTTCCCCGCTTCTTGATGTTTACCTCGCCCACAAGCGAGCTGCGGATATTGACCACCTTTCTTTAGGGGGGGGGAGGGGGGTAGTGTAAGGAAAATCCCTTTTCCTTACTGGGGTTTACTCAACCGCGTACAATCCCGACTTTTGGAAGTGCACGTTCGGCCGATTTATTTGCTGCCGAAGCAAACCTGCGTCGCCTTCGGCTTTCCTTTGCCCAACCTGCACCCAACCTCGTGTTCCCGAGGTTCCCGTCTAACTAGGTTGACCCACTATATAATCTCGTGCCATCATTATATTGTCAGTTAATTGAGTCACATCTTCGTTATTCCGCGCACTCTCTTTTACAACTCATAACAAAGACCGCGCGCCAGGACAGTTATCGAAGACAGTTATAAGCAGGAAGAATTCAAAGTGCAAAGCGCGGGAAAACTTCAAACGGTGACCAAACCGCGTACGGTTACCGAACCGCATGATGCAATCCTGCATCTAGAATAGCCCTAAGGGGAATGTTCCCCCTCAGAGTACATGGCTAGCTAGGACCTTTCGTGTTCCCGGGAACCCGACATTCACTAGCAATCTTTCGCTGCTACAAGACTCGCGATCAAGCTGAGACGATCCTACACCTTCATTTCAGATTCGTACAAGCACCGCCTTCAACGGTCAGGATTTTTACACGTGGAGTTTGTAGCTTGAACTGCTCCTCCAAAGGGCTCAGATCTTCTGCTTCTTCGACGGAAGCTACCCTGGCCCCACAAGCGACACCGACGAGGCAAAGGCCCAATACTACAACGAATCGCTCATGGCGTATAGTATTCTACTTCGCAACATGTCTCCAGCCGAACAATTCGGCATGCATCCGTTAAAAAACGATCCGGCCCCCGCGATAACCACCTGGAGCTATCTCGTCAAAACCTATCAGCCTAAGGATTCCGTATCCTCGAGTCGCCTTCTGCAGCAACTCGTAGAAGTTAAAATGATACCCGGTGAAAAGGCAAATGCCTACATCAATCGATGCCGCAACATCCGCGACCAGCTGCAGAAGCTAGGAAACACAATTCCTAAGGACATGTTTGTCACCATTGCCCTCCAAGGATTGGTACCTCAGTGGAACCCGTGCAAGGCCTTACTTCACCAACAAGGCACCGTCTCTTAAGCTTATCTCTGCGCCACACTCCTGCACGAACAGCAAGACATGGACTTCAACAAAGAAAAAGGAGCTCGACGCGATCACATCGCCTTCTACTCTGGATGGTCGGGTTGATCCGGTTCCCGACCCGGTTCCCCACCCGGATGGTCCGGTTGGTCCGGTTCCCCATGGACTTCAACGGCTCTGCGACCCTCGCAACTCTCGTGACTCACGACCGCGTCAATATTACTGCAAAAATTGCAAGATATTCGGACACTCGACCGAACGCTGCCGATCTGGACTGCGTCACGAATCCGCACCACCAAACAACATTCCCGGCCATGATAACTCGCGCCAGGCAAACCGACCGTCTTCGGACCATCGGCCTGCCCCGCGCCAGCCACAACAGCCTGACGTGCCCAGGCCTCCATACACCAGCAACGTTCGCCACGTCATCTGCAATATGGCGATGCGCGTTCATCGTCGCACACGACGAACAAACCGGCGACACTTACGATACGTCTCTCCCCCGCCACCTGGTCGTGAGGTTGAGTTTTCCAGTTACAACAACCCCTTCCCGCAGGACGGGGAGTTTGTCTCTGACGAACACAAACAAGACTGGGACCTGCCGACCCCCCTGCTCGAATCCCCGCCGCACGATGAGGATTTCATCCATCCATCAACAGCTACTTCTACGGTCACTACATCGACACTCGTCCCATTCACAACTATCGCTGGGCCGGCGACAAGCGCATCCCCTTTCGTAACACACCCAACTTCGCGTTCTCGGCTCAGACCCGCACCGACGCATATAACACATGGTATCTTGACAACTACTGCGGGCAACACATGGTCGGCTCCAATCGCTTCATCTCCAACGCTCGCCCCATCCCGCAGCCCACCGTCGTCACAGTCGCCAATAGCCAGCAACTTGAAGCACGCGCGTGCGGCATCGTCGTGCTCAAAGCAAGGGACAGCGACATCCACATCACACTCAACGACGTACTCATCGGCCGAGACCTCAAGTACAACTTGCTATCCTACGAGCAGCTAGTCCACAGCGGTGTTCTCATGAGCACAGACCCAGAGAGCAGGTGCATTCTAATGCACTTGAAGGACTACACGACCAGCGATAGCGAGCCACGCTACATCGGCAAAGCATGCCCAGACACGGCGTCCACATCACAGACTTCGATATCCCAGACTTCCGCGCCGACTCTGCAGACCTCATTGACCTCCAACCCCAGCGTGCCGTCTGACCCTGCGAACTCGCCCACCCTGACGGACGTCCCTGGGTTAAACATCATGCTCACCCCAGGGAGATCAATCTACACGCACCTGGACCTGATGGCCTCTGCCGCAACTGCCGCACACCAACAGCCTCCACCACAGAGCAGAAAACTGACAAGGGGAAGGCGCCGGCTGATGAAGGAGAAACATCAGCCGCTGGAGACAAACACAGAGCAACGGCTGAAGAGAAAGGGAAAACAAAAGTCAGTGACAACAGCGAAGAAGCAGAGCCCCCTTCAGAAGCAGAATCATATGAGGAGGCAGAACCAACAACGATACACCCTGCTGGTCTGGACATAATCAAAGAGGCAGAATGGCGGACTCTACACCCCACAGGCATGCGCCACCCTGCTGAACTTGCTGCTGCCCTCACCATCTATCAGCCTTGCAGACACCTCACAGATCCTACAGTCCACGATCGCCTCCACCTCCTAACTCGTTACAGGGGACCTGGGACAATTGAAGCCAACAACAACCACCTCCCTCTGGACTGGGAGACTTACCACGTCACTCGCCCTTGGTCTCGCCGCACCATGACATCTGAAGAGCTCCAACGACGGGAGGAAGAGGAGGACCGCCGTCGTGCAGACGCAGATGGAGCAGCAGCAGCAAAAGCAGCCACTCACGGCTGGGGCACAGGCACAACAACATGGGGAGCAGGAAGCAGCACACCAGCAGGAACATGTGGAACACCCACAGTTGAAGAGGAGGAACCGATCGAGGAAGTCATTGCTCATGTTGAGAGAGAACCAGAAGAAGCAGCGGCTGGGCCTTATAGGTCCCCAAAACAAATCGGCATCCCCCCCTTAGGAGACTCATCCTCTAGTGACTCCTGGGCCTCCTCCAAGTCCTCACGCCCCCCCCTCTGACCATGACACCGTTCTACCATACAGTCGCTACCCACACAGCCCACTACCAACTGAATCTACCCCCATAGGCCCCCATGATCCCACCACCGCTGACCCTTCTACCATCCAAGGTCTGCCACCACACCACGTCCAACGCCCCAACCTCACAGAAGGCACCGCTGACACAGATGACACCACAGCTCCGCTTGCTGCCCTCACCACAGTATCCCCAGACCCATAGATCACAACTCGTGACCTCATCCTTGCACTTGGCCTTTCATCTCACCACAACCTCTCCCACAACCCCCAACTACCAACACAACTGAACTGATAGCCTTTTTCGCCCGCTCGCCCGCACTCCGCGCACCCCCTGACATCTAGCACGGACGCCTCGCTCACCCCTCTCAACAATTCTCAACAACTGCATCCACGCCAACGTCTTTCTTCCTGGCACACTGCTCTGCCCCAATGGTACCCCCCTCACCGTCGAAACCAATCGCCGCACTGACTGCACAGTCTGCCCTGAAGCCGCACTCAAACACAAGCCCTTCAAGCTCGTCGAGCCAACCACAAACCGCTACAACAAGTTGCAGAATGTTTACAGCGACTTTCTCGTCCTCACCCAGACAGGCATCAACGGCAAAGAGTACACTCTTACCTTCGTTGACGCTCACTCTCGCTTTGTCTGGGTGGCCAATGTCTCTCACAGGAGCAAGGCATACGGCATCTTCAAAGTATGGCACAGTAATGTTGAAACTCAGTCCTGCTGCAAGCTCAAGCTTTGGCAAACCGACTGCGCAGCCGAGTTCAAGAGCAACAAATTGACAGCATACCTTCAGGACAAGGGAATCGTTCACAAGCTTTCCTTTCCCTATCCACCCGCAACAAGGCGTCGCTGAGCAAACCAACCGCACGCTCATGACCAAGGTTCGCGCCCTCCTGCAACAGAGCGACGTTGACGCGAAGTATCGGCCCTAGGCCATGCACCACGCCGTCCGCCTTCACAATCTGCTCAGCACAACCGCAAACACTGATCATCTGTCGTCCCATGTCAAATTCACCGGCGACAAAGGGGACATCTCCATGATACGCGTCTGGGGCTGCATTGTGCAATATCGGCCCGCAACTGCGAACACCGGGAAGTTCGAGCGTCGCGCACGTTGGGGAGTTCATCTTGGCATCAGCTTCGAACATTACGCATGGAACATCCTCGACCACGATACCTCTCGGGTGGTCGTAGCCCGCGACGTTATCTTCTACGAAGATCTCACCATCCAAACCTTCCTGAGCGATCGTTACGCCGACAGGCTTAGGATCGGCGGCCAAACCGATCGCGTTGCCAACTACGAGCGCCCTCCGCGTAGTTTCGCAACCCCCGCCGATGAAGCTGCAGCTGCGCTCGCAGACCAAGACCCAACAGATCCCCTCCCAGGACCGCGCCCGTAGAGCTACGAGGACGAGGACGAAGACGATGCTCCCCTCGACTCCTCCCGTGAATCCCTACTCAGCCCCACCCCATCCTCCGCTCACGACTTTGACGAAGATGTGGTGGAAGTCACCAGCGAGCAGCAGCACAGTCCCGGCATCTCCGGTCTCCACATTCTCGGCCTACACACCGCCGTCTCACCCACCGAAAGCAATTGAACCCAAAACCCCGCGCCAAGCGCTCACAGGACCCTACAGTAAGGAATTGCGCGCGGCCATGGATGCTGAATTTGCCGCCCTCGAAGCCCGTGAAACATGGGTTCTTGCTGTTCGCGCTGCACTGAACGGGAGACACACCCTCTCGAGCAAAAGGGACTTCCATGTCAAAACCGCCGCTGATGGAACCATCAAGCGTTTCAAAGCTCGCTGGGTCGTGCGTGGTTTCGACCAATGCCACGTCATCGATTTCGACCAAACATTCTCTCCCGTCCGTCGCCATACGTCCGTCCGCATCCTCCTTGCCATCGCAGCCGCGAAGCATCTCCCACTCCGCCAAATTGACGTTAAGAACGCCTTCCTCTACGCTCCCGTCGACGTCCTAATCTTCGTCGAGCAACCTCACACCTATGGCAACGGCGATGATCGCGTGTGTCAACTCAAGAAATCACTTTACGGCATCAAGCAGGGGCCGCGCCTCTGGCAACAGCACCTCCACCAAATCCTGCTTGACATAGGCTTCACCCAACTGCCTCACGATCCCGGCATGTATCGCCTTCATTTCCGCGGCGATTACATTCTCCTCATGGCGTACGTGGACGATCTTCTCTACACCGGAACCAGCAACGAGCTTCTCGCGCAGTTCGAGAAGAATATCAGCAACCACGTCGAAATCACCAGCACCGACCACGTAACCTTGTTTCTGGGACTCAACATCTCCTATGCAGCAGACGCTATTCACCTTTCTGCCTCCAAGTACGCAGAAAATTTGTCTGCCAAATTCAACATCAAGCCAGCAAACCTCTCCACTCCCTACCGCTCCCAAACCACCACCCATACTCCCAACAAAACCCCACTCAACCCATCCAACCACCAACTGTACGAGCAGCAGCTAGGCTGCCTTCTTTTTGCTGCAGTCACATGCAGGCCTGACTTGTCCTACATCTCGAGCCAACTCGCCCAGTATTCCAAGCGGCCTGAAGGGGAGAATATGCTGGTCCTGCAGCGCGCTCTACAGTACTTCATCTCCACACCACAAATCGACCTCACCTACTTTACCCTCACGACCCGCGCCTTCAACCTCATTGGATACGTGGACGCCGATCACGCCGCCGACCCTGCAAATCGACGGTCCCGAACTGGTTTTCTCTTCTGCTTCGAACCTACCGGACCGATTTCCTAGAATTCTCAGAATCAGGAAATGGTGGCACTCTCCTCTGCTGAAGCTGGGTTCATCGCTGCCACATCAGCTGTACGCGAAAGGCTTTACCTCCAGGAGCTGCTCCAAGAGGTGAAAATTGCGACATCTGCGAACTTCAAGCTCCACTGTGACAACCTGAGCACGATCAAGATCGCGAACAAACCCGACTTCGTCAACCGTACTGAGCACATCGCTCTACGCTACTACTTCGTCTAAGACGAAGTTGAAAAAGGCAAAGCCATCTTGACTTACTGCCCCACTGGTGACATGGTGGCTGACTTCCTCACCAAGAAGCTTCCACGTCAGCAATATCAGCACTGCGCGAACATCTGCGGTATAACCAAGCGTGTCAAGACTTCGCTCCTCCAGGAATGAAGGGGAGTGTTACGATATGGAACAGTCGAATAAACATTCCTAAAGTATCGAATCCTAAACGCGAAGATGATTGCAGCGAGGACGAAGACTGAGCGTCAAGACAGTTATCGAAGAATTCAAAGTGCAAAGCACGGGAAAACTTCAAACGGTTACCGAACCGCGTACGGTTACCAAACCGCATGGTTGCAATCCTGCATCTAGAATAGCCCTAAGGGGAATGTACCCCCTCAGAGTACATGGCTAGCTAGGACCTTTCGTGTTCCCGGGTACTCGACATTCACTAGCAATCTTCCGCTGCTACAAGACTCGCGACCAACCTGAGACGATCCTACACCTTCATTTCAGATTGTAACAGTTTAGAGAAGAAGAAAACATATAGGATTAGCACTCGGGTCTAATACGTTTACACCCTGATAATAGATACACTCCTGTTTTCTACTCGGGGTAGGATTGAACCCTAGGGTGTATTAGTCGGGTAAATGTCAGAACTAAGGGGCAAGAATGATGAGATTAGGCAGCATGAGAAGAACAAGTGTGAAACCTAAAGGGTTGTACTCTCTAAGGAGTGCCCTACTACAGCATACAATGTAATGTATCATTTGACACACCCCCATAGGCGAAGTGGGGAACAACAAGAGGTCATAAGACCAGTCAAGAGAAGCAGAACAAAGCAAAGCTCAGGGTGGATCTCAAGACCACCACACAGTCTGAGCACAAGCAAGTGACCACAAGGCCAGTTCACATGCAGAGTTTATAATAGCAATTGCAGTACACTAATCACAACCTAGCAAGTGTAAACATGCAGGTACAATCATATATACCAGAGTACAACAAGTGCAAGGCAAGATCAAGAGACAAGCAGGTGAGGCAGAGTGGGCACAAGCCCAACAGCAGTGCAGAAATGCTGATGATCACCAGACCGAGGGCCTTGGTGAAGACATCAGCAGTGTTGGCCTGGGAGGCCACGTAAGAAAGGCAAACCTGACCACGCTGCTGCAACTCTCGTGCGAGGAAGTGACGAAGAGCAATGTGCTTCGTTCTGTGCTCCAGTCTCTGGTCTTGACACAAGGCAATCATGGCCTTGTTGTCGACGCACAGAAATGGATGAGAACGAGGCCGCTCACCCAAGTTGCTCAGCAGGTAAATCAGCCAGCGGAGCTCCTGTGCAGCCATAGCCCCAGCGTAGATCTCGGCCTCACAGCTGGAACTAAGTACAGAAGACAAGCGAGTGGACCTCCACGAGACAAATTCAGTGCCGAGGCTGAAATTGTAACCCTCTGTCGACCGGTGAGTCGTCTGGTCGTCAGCCCAAGAAGCGTCTGAGTGATAGGTGAAAACAACTGGACCCCGTCCCCCAAGCACAAGCCCCATGCCTGATGTACAGCATAAGTAACGCAGTAGCCTCTGTGCAGCTGTCCACTGCTCCGACCGGTGTCTACCAGGTGCAACGTAGCGAGCAATAAGGCTGAGAGGGTATGCGAGGTCAGGTCGTGTGCACGTCATCAAGTACATGAGGCAACCCACACGCTCTGGATACAGACTACTCGGCTCTACGGACCCGTCCGAAGGTGGAGCTGAGAGCGAGTGGCCTGTAGGCAGAGGAGTGGGCTGTGGCGAGGAGAACTGGAAGTCGAAGCGCTGAAGGACCTGCTGCACAATATGTAACTGAGTCAGGGTGATGGTGCGCCGTGCCCTGTCCCGGGTGATCTGCAAGCCAAGATAGCTCCGCAGCTCACCCTGGTCAGTGCAGGTGTGTCTCTCCTACAGCTCCGCCTTCACTAAAAGCCTGTGCCTCAGTGTCAGCAGTAGCAAAAACCAAGTCGTCGACGTACACGAGGACGTAGAACGGTGGCAGAGAAGTGTCTGTGTGCAGAAATAGCGAAGGGTCGGCAGTCGAGGGAGCAAAACCTATAGCCGCAAGTGTAGTCCTCAGTGTGTCGTGCCACTCACGAGGCGCCTGACGAAGACCGTAGACTGGCCGCTTGAGGCTCCACTGGGTACCCTCAAGAAACGACCCAGTGAAG